TTGTTTGTAGCTGACACATAATGTTCTAAACTTATTCCGCATTCCGAACCATCTCACATTTCATAGTTGCTCTGTTTAACAGTTCAACAAGAAATCGAGTGCTACGCCTTTTTAGTTATGCAAGCAACCCCACTCTTTTTTCCAAACAAATTTGACTAATATCGGTATCGTGCGTAAAATAACAACAATTCTTTTCAATTTCAAATCACGATTCCTTTTATTCCATCCTTATTATTATTATTTTTTTTTGCTGTTTGCATTATCAACTACCTTATATTGTAACATCTATCCTTCTTTTTTCCTGTCTTTAAGAGACTAATTGTGTCTTTTAATTTGTAATATAGCCATTTATACATATATATATTCTTTCCCTTTATCATTATTATTATTTTTTTTTTATATATATACAAAACTCACTTAATTGCATCATTAACTGGCATTTGTCAGTATGGCGTTTTAAATAGGAACTGTGTACAAAAAGATGACCATATTTTCATTCAACAATACAGACACCAAACCCATCGCGTTATCAACGTATTTGGAAACTAGTTTGCTAGTTGACCATCGTTCCCACAAAAAATCAATCAACTCTTCAAATCAGAGCATCGCTTGGTATCTACTTTACATCTCTTCTCATCGGCGACGAAAGTCGGTCGAACAATATCTAAAAAATATATATTCCTTGAGTTTAATTTCTATTCCTTGTCCTTGACACATCTGCCAGATTCTGATCCTCTTGTTCCCAAAAAAATAAATACATATAAAAAAAAGAAATAGCCTAAACTCAAGCCGGTTCTTGAAGAAAAATACTTCAAAGTAAAAAAAAAAAAAAAAACAAAAAAAAACAAAAAAAAAAAAGCGAAAAAAAAAGACAATATCTCAATTACTTTTCTTCAAAGTGTAAAATCATTATATATATATATATATATATATATAACAAAAGAACATTAAATAGCTATGATGCTCGAAAGGTCATCTATACCTAACGGGCCTGTCATCCTTGATTTTGAAAAGGTTACATCCGTTAATCAACAACCGTTGCGACCTGGGCCGTTGTCTTCTCCGATTATTCTACCTTTTGAGATCGGTACAACGATTGTTAATCCTAAAGATGGCTCCGCCTTCCAATTGCTTCAACCTCTTGGTAATGGTTCTTATGCTGTTGTATATAGGGTTCTCGAAAAGTCATCCAACAAGCATTATGCACTGAAATGTTTATCAAAGGCAAATTTGAACGATTATCATTTGGAAGTTCAACGTAATGAGGTATGCACATTGTACAAATTTTATTAGTACCGATTTTCACGTAATAATATCCTTATTTTATTTTATAGGTACATGTTCACAAAAGGCTCAATCACCCCAATATTGTAAAACTAGATCGTTATTTTGAAACGCCTGATTGGCTCTTTCTTGTACTTGAGTATTGTGAAGGTCAAGATTTATATTATTGGTTGACGCAAAATAACGATAGCAGAGATCCAAAAACGGGTAAACAGTTATCTGAAAAAGAACGGGTTACAATAATCAAACAAGTTTTCATGCAAATATTGGATGCAGTCGGTTATTGTCATAGTCAAGGCGTGGCTCATAGAGATCTTAAACCGGAAAATTTTATCGTCATGATCAACAATAACAGCAAGGTCAGTAGTATTCAAAGTATTCAAGTTAAATTAACAGATTTTGGACTGGCTACGGATGAAATTGAATCGGTGGATTTTGATTGTGGATCTAAACCATATATGAGTTATGGTAAACAATTACATTTCATTTATCCACTTTCAAAAAAAATTTTTTTTTAAACCTTTTAGTTACACTTTTTACTATATTCTTGATAAATTAGAATGCCGTAATCCTATACGCGAATCATATAATCCTCGTCTTGCTGATATATGGTCATTGGGCATCATTCTTCTTAATTTGATGTACCACCGTTCGCCATGGTCTGATCCAAATCCTACACAATGTAAATCATTTGCTTCTTTCCAACTTGACAAGCCAGGCTTCTTGATTAACCGTTTTACAACAATTCCGGAAAAGGTTGCACATTTTTTAGCTAATCGTGTATTCTGTAAAGTCGAAGAGGGCCGTATTAAAATCAATGAGTGGATGATTTGGTGTGATGATATGGTGGAGAAAATGTTGTCGGAAAGGAAAACGGCTAAAAGCGTTAATGACGATGCTGTAGTTCCGCAGCAACAATCACTGCCTTCTGACTTCTCATTATTCAAACAAAGTTCTACACATAGATGTCATGTGCATAATCATCATGACTCATGGTCAGAAGTTTTTGGAGAGTTTGACAACGAGATGGATTTTACTGCTCCGGTTTTGTTTGATAAACAAGATAGTGCTAATTATTTGAAGAAATTAAAAGATGTCAAGGCAGAATCAAAAAGTAAGAACAATATATTGCAAGACGAATCAGGCTTAGATAGGAAAGATAGTGAAAATTTGGCAGACGTGAATTCTGATAACAGTGACGTTGATTCCGGTTTTGGCACTGATGAAGATAATAACAATGTTATAAAAAGAACGCGAAAAAAAGATGCGATAAGTGAATCAAATGAACCTGTCAATTCTGTTAAGGCGCCTGTTTCAGTGTCTCCGCCGAAAGTAATATATTGTAAGCCGAAACCCTGGGGTGAACAAAGGTCTCGAGGCCATCAACATGAGCCGTCGATTGAAAATGGCCCGCCACCTAGCTCAATAAATAATAATCATTGGTCTTCTTACAATCAACGTCGCGAACGTTTGGAACGACGTAAACACGAACAAAATTTGTCTATGTGGAATCATAATCGACGTCGTGGATCATTGTCAACTGATAATTCAACATTAGCGTCTTCTCGACCTCAACGCACTTCGCATTTTAATGTTCCTTCTTCTATCAGCAATTCTCGACCATTGATCCCCAAAAGAACCTCACCACCTCCTATTAAATCTCAATTACCACCTTGCAAACAG